AGAAGGAGAGGAGTCTGAGGAATACCATCATCAAAAAGGAGAAAAATCAGCGGTGCCAGAGGACTAATGACGGCTCTCAGTGGGCTGCCCAGGCCATGTCCAGACTCCGTTAAGCCAGACTCTGGGGGAGGCACCTCTGCAGCCATATATGTTTTTTAAAAAAATACACAGTCTCCTAGGAATTTCACCTAGGTGTGGAGAATCCACAGAACAAATGAGAGATAAAACAGATAACTGAAAAGTACCCAATGAAACTGACAAATTAGTCATCCAGATAAAAACATCAATGAAACCAAATATAGTCTAGAAGCAAACCCAAATATATATGGGAAATGCAGCAAATGATAAAAGTTATTTCAAATCTGGAGGGAAAAGATGGATTATTCAACAAATGACACTAGGGCAAATGGGTTGTCATCTGGAAATATAAATCTAGCTTTGTACCTTACACCATAATAAATTCCAGACGGATCTGTTAAATGTAAAATGAGAAACCGCACAAGTTCTATACCAGAAGAAATCACAGGGAATGTCTGTATAATGTATAATGCATATGTATAATAATATGTGCAATGCATAATGTATAAAGCATTTCTCATGACACAAAACCCAGAAGCCATACAGACTGATAAATATATATGTATATATTTTTAAAACTGCATGGTAAAGTCCAAATGAAAAGGAAAAAAACCTGGAAAACAAATATTTGCAACTTCTAAAGACAAAAGCACAATTTCCTTGAAACTTAAAGAACTCCTAAAAAACAATAAAGAAAAGATCAACAATCCAACAGAGATGGGTAGAGGTTATGAAGAGCTTGCCAAAAGTAAAATAAAATTACACTACACTGAGATGTGCTTCTCACCCAACCAAATGGCAAAAATCTGGGGAAGGGATCAGGGGGTGCTGACTCTTCATACTAGTTGAAGGTATAGGAACAGGCACTCACATTGCTGTAGGAATTCCAAAAGGTAGATGATCTCAGCAAGATCTAAAGTAATTACAGTACAGACCACTTCACCCAGCAACAATCCTGCTTCCAGGTTTCTGTTCTATAGATACACTTACTGACTGAAATGTGAAAGCCATGCATGTTGTTTGTTGTATGTAGATGACACATACATAATATGTCAAAGACACCAAGTTGTCTGTAATGGTAAAGAGGGAACAAAATGTCCATCAATAGGGACTGATTAAATAGCACATTCGTACAGGGCAGCCATAAGCTACTAGTACAACGAAGAAGCGCTATGACAGTGTTTCTCAACCTTCTGGCCCTTTAAATATAGTTCCTCATGTTGTGACCCAACCATAAAATTATTTTCGTTGCTACTTCGTAACTGTAATGTTGCTACTGTTATGAATCGTAATGTAAATATCTGATATGCAGGATGGTCTTAGGCGACCCCTGTGAAAGGGTCGTTTGACCGCCAAAGGGGTCGCGACCCACAGGTTGAGAACCGCTGGGCTATGAACTGACAAGGAATGCTCATCAGGAAAGACTACCAAGAAAAAGGGACATAGACCATGTGGGGAGTAAGACAACAGTGATCTATTTGTTAATACACAGAGTCTCTCTAGAAGGTTCTACAAGCAACAAAGAGGGGAATGAACCTAGATGGCTGGGAAACGGTAAGAAACCCAAAGGAAGACTACTACCCACCACACTCCTGCACTAAGCACTTTAAAATCATCGTTTCAATTCTTCCTTTAAAAAAATCAATCTCAGTAAGTAGTTCCAGTATGATCTCTACAACAAGGATTCTGAAACACAAAGGTGGGGGGGGGGCACAATTTTCTAAATGTACTGAAAACCAATGAACTGTATACTCTAAAGGGGTCAATTTTATGTTATATGGGTTAAACCTCAAGAAAGCCATTATTTTTTAAAAGTAAGTATATACCACAGCACATTATCATTTACATAGAGAAAAGACCGTAAAGGCTAGCTTTTTCCAAAACTATGGCTTTATATTTACATAAAATGGGAAGACAGAGGTAGTGTTAAGTCCAAACCAACCATTATCACCATTTTCCATCGTGCCTTAAGGAACAGCACACCTACAGCACTTGTCAGCTACTGAGTACAGTAAAGCTACTGCAATCAATCACCAGCTCTACCGCTATGAATTCTTTTCTTTCTGAAAGTAAAAATGTCTATTTTACATTCCTTACACTTTTAAATTTCTACAAGTCCTCTGAGCAGTAAGAATTTTGAAATAACATAGTAAGGGCTTGAAGAAGCAAATGTAAATAATGCCTATACATATCAAAAAATATAGTTAAAAGAAGTATTACCTTAGGATAAAGAATGAAGCAGTTAAAATCTTTATCTCTAAGAGAGAAACACAAAGTTTCTAGGCTCAGAGTTTAAAACAAAATACAACAGCTTACAAAAGAAATACAAACAGAGCTTTAATGGGGCTGCTTTTCTAGGATTACACTAAATGTTAGATTTAGAGAAACAAAGGCAGCAAAATGCTTAAAGGCTAGATTTCACGAGTTGCCTACTCCAAGCAACAGAAGCGTTTATCCATGTCAGGCATTAAATTTAAAGCAGCAAAGGAACAGAAAGTTCAATGAATGTGACTGAAATTACTTTAGGAGTGGCATAGGGATATAGAGAAAACTAGATACCATTTTTTTGGAAATATGGAAGCAATGGCACCAAGGTTACTCATTATTATTTTTAATTTTCTATTTATTGATTTTTTGAGAGAGAGAGAGAAACATCAATTTGTTGTTCCACTCATTTATGCACTCACTGATTAATTCTTATATATGCCCTGACTGGGATTGAACCCGAAACCTTGGCTTATTGGGACAACACTCTAGCCAACTGAGCTACCAGGCCAGGGCTTCTAACCTCATTAATAAGGGACAGGCAGAATTCTCCAATTTCCCAAGGGTGAACAAAAAAACTGTCAGCTCCAAGTAACTATCCAAAAATCAATTTTGAAAACACTGCGAGACAAACATTTTACTCTATAACAATGTGCCCTGCTCAAGTTAGCATCCCTCTATAAAAAGCCAGAGAAGACAGAAGGAAGCCCTCACTGCACATCTGCTGGGCACTTCACATGTGACGTCATGTGACCCTCCAAACAAGTCCATGAGGCAGGTAACTTGCCTTGCAATAGGGAAACACCGGAGGAGGGAGGACTCTGGCCAAGGTCACATAGTTGGTCCATTCAGTGCCCATTTGGATAGGAAGGGTGGGGGGTAGATTAGCCCCTTCATCACATCTGGCTTGACAGATTTCTGGCTTGACAGAAAGGCTCTATTATAAATGGCATTTTTGTTCTAGCTTTTAGCTTACTCCCCACCAAAATAATGACCACTATCTTCTGCTTTTAATAATGTGATGATGCATCTGCACACACAAAAGACACCCTTTAAGAGCTGAACAAGACTGGACTCACGGCCATAGACATTCTCAGTGTGTTGCATTTAACCTGAAGACTAACAGCACATGAAGCTGGCCTTAGGGGACTGAAATCCCATGAACAGGCGATAGTCCACTGGCACCCCAAAGCTTACTGAACTCCCTACAGACCACCACATTCCCTGGGACCCAGCCTTTGTCGTAGCGGAATAACATTTTTCTGCCCAGTGCACAATATGGGTGGGATCTGAACACACATTTAAAAAGAAAACCACGGTCTCGGATATCAATGTCACCAAGAAAAGATAGGACATAGATTAAAACCAATGCAGGGACCACAACCACTTCTTACAGGAAGACATTAAAGAAGAAAAGCCACAATTCAGGTTTGAAAGAGAACTTAAAACCACCAGCAGCAAACCAGAGAGTATCAAACATTTAACTTAAAAGAGCTTAGGCACTGTCAAAGAAAGATATTCAGCACTAACGTACTGGTCTTTGACTGCAATCTCTTGCTTCCCAAAGTCAGTGTGTAATCTAAATACAACACACTTGGTCAAAGAAAATGCTTTTCCCCCCCTCGGAGCACAATTTTGGCATTGGGTCTCAAGGGGCCATAAAAAACAAGTTTGAGCCCCAAACACTTTGGTTACATAGTTTTGAAACATTTAAACAAAAGTTCACATTTCTAAGTGGATGACCATGATACCCTTCCTGTTTAATTTGGAGACTGGAGATCTTTAACTTAACCTAGCATTCCTTAGGAGACTGATACCCTCAACACGCTCGGGCTCCAAGCCTGGGATTTGTTTCACATTGAGAAATAACTGTTTCACATGCAACTGTCTGTTAAACACAAACATAAACACAGATATGGATGTGCATTCATAAGTTCATACACACATATTGACACATATGCATAAGCATACACATTCATCAGTGCTATACATGCACTCACAAGCACACTAATACATGTATACATGCGCTCACACACGCGTGCCCACTCCGCGGTCCCACCTGCCCATCTGACCGCTCCAGCGGCGACACCTGCCCACTTAGGGGAAACCCACAACCAGGCCTGGGGCGCCACATGACACCCGCGAATGTCTGTGAAGGCCTAGAGCAGCGGTTCTCAACCTGTGGGTCGCGACCCCTTTGGGGGCCAAACGACCCTTTCATAGGGGTCGCCTAAGACCATCGGAAAACACATACATAATTACATATTGTTTTTGTGATTAATCACTATGCTTTAATTATGTTCAATTTGTAACAATGAAAACACATCCTGCATATCAGATATTTACATGACGATTCATAACAGTAGCAAAATTACAGTTATGAAGTAGCAACGAAAATACTTTTATGGTTGGGGGTCACCACAACATGAGGAACTGTATTAAAGGGTCGCAGCATTAAGAAGGTTGAGAACCACTGGCCTAGAGCCTTCTCTATCTCATACGGCTTCCTTTTCTAGTAATAAACATCAGATTTGGAGAAACCATGTAACTGAGGCCGCAACCTCTGACTGGGGTTATCTGTCCCTCTAAGGGAGCCGTGAGTGCGTCCTCCCATACTTCCCCGACTAACCCGGGCGAGATGGACGGGTGCAACAGCCTCAAGGGCGCGAGGTACCCGGCCGGTCTTGGGGTGCAGGATTTGCGGGTGGAAGTGGTGGCAGGGGCTTGGAGTGAGGGCATAGGGTACAGGGTGGAGGCTTGGGATACAAACGCGGAGTGAAAGCTTGGTTGGCGGCTGCGGAACCAGGATGGAAGCTTGGGGGTGCAGGTATGAGTTTAGGGTTCAGGTGAGGGTTTGGGATCTCAAGTGAAAGCTTCGGGAGCGAGTGTTTTCCGTTCGGGTGGAGGCTTGGTGGTGGGCGTTTTGGGGAGCGGGTTGGAGGCTTGCGGTGCGGGTGGGGGCGCCGGGCCCGCCTCCCGCGTGGGCACGCACCTT